AATAAAAAATTTAACACTCAAGTACTAGTCTCAAAGTCTGCTTCTGGGGAAATACAAACTAACATACTTTGTCAAACTAAAGCTATATATATATATATATATATTTTTTTTTTTTTTTTGAGACAGGGTCTTGCTGTCACCCAGGCTGGTGTGCAGTGGCAGAATCACAGCTCGCTGCAGCCTCAACCTCTGGAACTCAAGTTATCTGCCCACCTAAGCCTCCCAATTAGCTGGGACTACAGGCATGTACCACCACGCCTGGCTAATTTTTTCTATTTCTCATAGACACAGGATCTCACTATGTTGCCCAGGCTGGTCTGGAACTCCTGGGCTCAAGTGATCCTCCTGCCTTGGCCTCCCAAAGTACTGGGATTATAGTCTTGAGCCACTATGCCTGGCCTTCAATGCCAATTTTTAATGCATCCATGGAAAAAGATAAAATAAGAACATAATATATGATGAATATCTCATGAAGCTAAATTTATGTAATTCTAAGGAATTTTCCTTTTTTTTCTAAAATTATTTCCATCCTTTCTCTTTTCTCTTCCCTCTTTCTCCCCACCTTGAAATATCCTTTCCTTTTATGAAATAAAGCAGCAGGAAATGGCAGTTTTGTTGTAACAACAAAATACTTCTCTCTTCACAAAATTGGTAAACTCATAATTGGCAATTCGGTAGTCTCTCAATTTTTGTGGAACCTTTAGTAGTCCACAAAACTCAGATGTCTGAAAGTCACTGATACATACCATTGTATTTATGTCATATTTCATTGCTTTTTAAAAACAATTAGATAATCAATAGGGAGTTGAAAAATAAGAGTTCTATTAAGATAACAAGTGAAGTTGAAAAGTCTTCAAAAGAGCACGTGGATTCAGAAATAATTATAGTTAGAAATAGAAAGCTGTTTTTAGTTGAGTAAAGTTACACTACTTACAATGCGTTTGCAGTAGTTAAAGCTCTCACCTTATTTATGATAATTATCTGACTTAAGGCTCCACTTAGCCCTTTCATTGTATAGTTACTTTAAAGAGCAGTGTGTATTGTCATACTAACTGAATTTGGAAGTGAAAGGGTTCCTGAAGACTCTCAGGTAGACCAAAGAATGTAATGTGAATTAGAGACTTTGCAGGATTCTTGAGGTGAAAAGAGCAAAGCTTAGTTGGATTTCATGACTGTGCTTCAGGTGCTATTTAAACTGTTGCTGGCATATTAAAAAAAAAATTATCTGTGAAAAATGGGAGTGTAATAATGAAGGAAATATGGCAGAGTCCTACCCACCTGACTCTCCCACATTCTTTGCCTTGAAACCTTTCCATTTCGTTTTCTCCTTTACTTCTACCATGGGATACTATCAAGTATAGGAGCCAGGCAAAGAAAGGAAAACACATAAATGTACCTAGTCAGAGTAAAATAATAGGTAAAGAAAAAGAGACTAGAAATCATGAAGGAGGAAAGATTCTGGCAAAAAATAATGAAGGATCTGCAATATAAAGACAAAATAGGAATAAAGTAAATAACAAAAAATAAATATATTTCTCTATTATTTTATATTTCAAGAGAAGAGAGATTTAGATCTAACTGTTCTAATCTTCTTTACCCATATATTGGTTTGAAAGTTTTGAGAGAGCTGTGGATAATTTACCTTGGAATTTATTTTACAGCCTCAGAGATCATCACACAGTTCTTCAATTTCTCTATGGTGTTTATAATTTTCATAAATATTATTTAGTTATTATACCACATACTGTAATCTCTGCAGAGTTATTTACCTTTTCATCAAAGTATTTCCTTTAACCTGTACCTCCTCAATGTTATTTCCTCAAAAGATCTTTCCAATAAAAAAATTTATGCTATGGAGAATTTTAAGATAAAGTCAGTAAATGCAGTGGGGACATTAGGGTTAGAAGTAAAGGCTTTCTTTCAAAATTGTTGGGTCAATGAAATATTTTGATACTATTTAGGTAAATTTGGAAGGCTATTCGTGTAGTTGAATATGTACTAGGGCATGGAACACAATTTGGCGTTCTTCAAACACAGCAGTAAGCTCTTTGTTACTTCTTGGTTAGTCCTCCCATCAGAAACTTTCATATATAGGCTCTAAGGTCCTCTAAAATTACAGTTATGTTACTGAGTTAGAATTACCTTTCCATGTACTCAAGATATCAAAACTATAAAATATTTTGGAATGTAGTACATTCATATTTCAGTTGCCAATGAAACCAGAATGAGCCAACTTCATTTCTTAAATTTTCAGTTTTTTTCATACACAAGTTTTTGTCCAACACTTTTTATTTAGTCTTCATTAAATACTATGTTTCAAAATCTAGAGTAACTTTTCTAAAATCACAGATAAAATAGCTTATTTTACTAAAAGTAAAATGTATTTTGAATTTTCTTTCTTTTGTGTACTATTCTATTTTTCAATACCTCCTGCCTGTTTAATATTATCTGTGAATTTAATTAAGATTGTTTACTTCCCTTTGTTAACTGGGCAGAAAGTTACGGTGGGTGGAAAAGAAAGGCAACAGACAAAAATAAAGGAAGTAGAAACATCAAATTGTTTTGGAAAAAATGAAAAGAAATTAAAGATAGGCAACTTATTTGAGATTCAGAAAGTATACAAGCAATAGTAAAGATTAGAGCCTAGATCTATTCAATAGTAGGAATATATTAAATATTTGAAAATACCTCATAAAATATGTGGCAATTTCTTTGGATGAAAAGAACAGGGCTAACTCTAAGGCTAAACATAAACTAGGTAAGATGTTGATATAAGGCTGATTTACAAATAGACATAGTACGTATTTCCTACTGGTTAAGAAATTGATTTCCAAAGATGGGAGCTGATCAAATTTGGTGTTTGTTAAAAGGATGAAGATCTGTTCAAAGTAGCATACTGAGGTTGCCTAGGACTGGGCTAGGCAGTAGAATAGACCACAGGTTGTATCTGCAGTCCAGTTTTGTAGGTACATACACCTTAAAGTCTAGAAAACATTTAATTGAGCATTTGATAGGTGTTACACTGCATTAAATTTTGACCTTTAAAAGTGTTAAAGAATTGTCAAAAAAGGAGGAGGTAATTCTGCAGTAAGAGTAGTGAGCCTCATCTGGACTCCCAGGCAACATACAGAGGGTGTGTGAACATTTAGAGATCAGTGAAAACCAAGAGTTGGTGATAACCTGCCCGTCCAATGTCCTGCATTCAAGGGCTGACAGTGGTGATTGGGACAGGTATGTTGGAGGATTGGGATGCTAACACACTGGAGGTTTTCAAGCACCAGCTATATTAAGATTTATTGGGAATGTTGCACTTGGTGTTCATATAGCAGACAGTAGGTAGAGTAGGTATTTTGATAGTCTTGTCTGAGGGTCTAAAGTTTAAAAGAAAACTGTTCTCAGGGAGGCCACTATTAGTAGTACTTCGTTATTAAGTATTATGGAACTGCTTCATTCTCATTTCTAGAACAGCACAGAGCTTAGCAACTCAAAACTCACCTATTTTACCTCCCACCTAATGAATGACATCTATTATATCTTTTTTAGGTATTGCATACCTCCTCTTGATTAGTATACTATACATTAATATAGTGGTTCTCAAACTTAAGTGGGCAACAATCACTTGGATGGCTTGTTAAAATGGATTGCTGCACAGTTTCTGATTCAGAAGGTCTGAGGTGGCATTACTGAATTCCTAGGATGTTGCTGGCCTTAATTCACTCGAGAACTCTAGCTCCTGTGACTGGTTCATCTTCCTTCTCCCAAGTAGCACATTGCCTAAGACATAAGCATAATGGAGGCCCCAGGACTACTCCTAATCAAGTTGGATCGTTGTCATCGACTAGGTAAATAGGTCTACCCAAATTTACAAAGAAAATGCATTCCCTGTATCTTGCCACCTCTTTTAGTGGTCTTTTCTCTTGTTCCTGGGTTTCTATCACAACCACTTGCCATCCGGAGTGTTGGCTTGATCATCCTTAGCAGAGAAAATACTGATCTCAAAGATCAATATCCAATGGTATTCAACGTGGGATTACTACTGGGAGAATTTAAAATAACAATACCGTTAATTTCAAACCATGGGAAGTTCCCTGTACATGAATGCATGTAATAGTTTGTATACATTTTAGTGTAGAAGACAAAATAACACTCTTCTCCTTAATTGTATTAAAAATGAGTTTTCAGTTTATTGCTACTTTAGAAACGATATATAATTGTAACTGGCATTCTGGGACATTCTTGACATTTGACTTGTTGAAGGTGCTTGCATTGCGGATCACACCCTGCAGTCTTTTGCACACAGAGGACAAAAGTGCATTGATTAGTGTTTTCTGTGGCACCCCCTCCTCTTCATCAGTATCCAACAGACTTATAATAGCATAGGTAAGTATATGAGACAGTTGATAAAGAAAAACCTATGCAAATACTGCTAGAAATCTTACTTCATAACCACTATTTCTACCAAAATTCCCTACCCTTCTCATATGGTGCCCTTTATTTCGTTTCGGAGTTTCAGAATCTATTTTATCTGTGTGTGTGTGTGAGATAGTCATGGTGATTTATAGCATGCAACGAAAAAGACAACATTTAGTACTGCCCCGATCTTCAAAGCTACCTGACTCCTGCATGGTTTCTGCGCTGCTGGCTAAGGCTGTTTCTTCCACCGGTCAGGAAGTACGGAACTAGTTTGTAGGCATTTTCCTTTCCCTTTCCCCCTTCTTCCTCTCCGCTGCCTCCCGGTCCCCCTCTCGTCTCTCCGGCTTTCACAGCGCCGAGCACCCGCGTGCTCAGGTACCCTTCCCTCTTCTCCCGCCCATCAAACAAAGCCCCGGGAGACAGGCGCGCGCCGCCGGCCACGCCAACAGGAGATGCGACCGCGCCGCCGCACGCTAGGAACCGGAGTAGGACAGCAAGCGCGACCACGCACCGCGCGTCCCCGCCGCTTCCTTCCCTCTGGACTCTTCCTTTTCCTCCGGGCCCGGCCCCCCGCCCCCAGCTCCGGGAACGCGCCTGCGCACAAGCTGCCCTCTCCCTCCTCCGCCCTTCCTTCCCTCCGTCCCTCCTCCCCTGCCCCGCCTTCCTTTCTCTCTCTACGGTTTCAGTCACTGAGAGCTCCAGGTAGTGAGCAGTTCAGTCGATTTCCTTGTTACCCCGCCCCCCTTTCTCTTGTCCCCACCCCTCTCATCTGCCTGGTGGAGGATGAAGCGGCTGCAGTGGCCCCAGCCTCAGCAGCGGCACCGGCGGTGGCTGCGGTGTGGGTGGCCGGAACTGGGGTGGTGAAGAAGCGGTGGTGGCTGCTGAAGGAGCGATAGCCACCTAAGCCTCTTTCCCTGTGCTTCCTTTCCTCTTTAGTGCAGCCAGGAAGTTTTCGCTTCTGTACATGTGTTTGTGTGCGTGAGTGTGGGTGTGTGCCGTGAGGTTTGGGTGGCGTTTGTGCAGGCGTTGGGTTTTTTGCCCACTTCGCTTCCCGTAACCCAAGCAGCTCCGGAGCCTGGGCTGTGGCCCTAGGAGGGGGCGCGGCGGCGGGCTCTCTCCTTTTGTTGTTGTTTCCTCCGCCTGGGGAGCTGAAGGGGAGACGCGTCTGGGTGGGGCGGCTCGGAGCCCGGGCCTGGTGGCCCCCGGGGCTCCCGGGCGGGCAGGGTAGGGCAGAGTAGAGCGGGCTTCAACATGATGGCGGCCGAGGCCGGCAGTGAGGAGGGCGGCCCGGTAACAGCCGGAGCTGGAGGAGGCGGCGCGGCAGCGGGCTCCAGTGCCTATCCCGCAGTGTGTCGGGTGAAGATACCCGCGGCCCTGCCTGTGGCAGCCGCCCCCTATCCTGGGCTGGTGGAGACCGGAGTGGCTGGAACTCTGGGTGGCGGAGCCGCTTTGGGGTCAGGGTTCCTAGGAGCCGGGTCTATGACAGGGGCATTGGGGGGAGCCGGACTGACAGGGGGAGGTACTGCTGCTGGCGTGGCTGGTGCTGCTGCTGGCGTGGCCGGTGCTGCTGTCGCTGGACCTAGTGGAGACATGGCTCTCACCAAGCTGCCCACTTCGTTGCCTGCTGAGACTCTCGGGCCAGGCGGCGGTTTTCCCCCTCTGCCCCCTCCCCCTTACCTGCCCCCTTTGGGGGCGGGCCTGGGGACAGTGGACGAAGGTGACTCTCTGGATGGACCAGAATACGAGGAGGAAGAGGTGGCCATACCATTGACCGCTCCTCCAACTAACCAGTAAGTTAAGACTGCTGTTCAGGAATTTGGGCAGCTGGCTCCAGAAAAGAAGTGGAAATGGGGTAAACCATACTTTGACTTTTTCATCTGTGATTTGTTTAGGAAAAGTTTTTGAAGTTTCAGGTTTCTTGCGTAGGAATTTAATTTGATCACTTATCTTCCTTACAGGCATACTACCTGGCGTCTTCCTACATTTATTGCTCTTCTGGGAAGGTGTAAAGTTTTTAAGATGGAAAGCATGAGAAAATGTGTATCTGATGAGAACCGGATATGGTTCTGTCCCTTCCAAGTTGAGGTGGTGTCCCAGGATTTAGTCAAACTGCGGCTACCAAGGCAGTCATAGTGTATATTAACCTGTGTGTGTTACTTGATAAAGCTAGATGATTAGTGAGAAACTTTGAATACAAATATTTAAACGAGTATTGTATTAATACTTTGAAAAATGTATTGGTTAGAATGTTTTTATTTCAGTGCACATCCCACTGATTAGAGAAAGCATAGTGATGTTTAGAAGAGTCTGTGGGTCACTTAATGAGAACTTGGGTCAGAGAAAAAGGAAAGGAATACTGTGAATTATAGGTGTGATTAAGAGCCTGTATTCCAACAATGTATCTTCTTCCCTAGGCTTCCCACTTAGCTTTTATAGTCGAGACATTGGAAGTACAACAGTGAGACAAAACAAAATTAACAGAGCTTCCCTTAAACATTTTTTGTTGGTGGCCAGTATAGTATTCTATTTGAAAATTAAGTAGAATATACAGGACAATGACTTTTTTTTTAATGTAAGTTAATACCGCCTCACTTGTCTTAATTGAACTTAGGTGTTTATTCATAAAGGTGGACTTTGATGAAAATGTTGCAATGGAAAGTGGTATTAGGCAAAACTTGTTATAACAAGTTTCTCGTATAACTCTTAATTGACCCTTAGAATTTTAACATCCTTGGTGAATATCAGGAAAGAAAGATTTGGTTCATATGTTGACAGTCATTCTGGACAATTCAGAGTTTTTTTTTTTCCTCTCTCCATTGCCCCCAAGAGATGAAGTCTAGCTCTGTTGCCCAGGCTGCAGTGTAGTGGCATGGTCTTGGCTCACTGCAACCTCTGCCTCCCGGATTCAAGAGATTCTCCTGCCTCAGCCTCCCTAGTAGCTGGGATTACAGGTGCATGCCACCATGCCTGGCTAATTTTTGTATTTTTCATAGAGACGAAGTTTCGCCATATGGCCAAACTGTTAGTCTAACTCCTGACCTCAGGTGGTCGGCTGGCCTCAGCCTTCTGAACTGCTGGTATTACAGGTATGAGCCACCGTGCCCGGCCTTTTTTTTTTTGGATAAGCTTCTTTGGAGCATTTAGAAAGGACTGAAACTAGGAAAAGATTCTGTTACCCTAATCTATTTTTGACTTAAGGCTACATCTTTTGATACTTAAAGTGGAAAAGTAAAGTTAGTCATATTTATGCCAGCCATGTTATAGGGATGTAGTGTTCCACCTTTTATATTCCTCAATAAAGGGTTCAAGTCTTGCGTCAGAGTTTTGTTCAAATTTTACATGACAATTTATTTCATGTCATTGTAATGCAGAGTCCCTGGGAGTGTTCAGGGAGTGTTAAAAATTCCAATTTTGCCGGTCGCGGTGGCTCACACCTGTAATCCCAGCACTTCGGGAGGCCTAGGCAGGTGGATCACCCGAAGTCGGGAGTTTGAGACCAGCCTGACCAAGATGGAGACACCTTCTCTCTACTAAAAATACAAAATTAGTCTGGCGTGGTGGCAGCTGCCTGTAATCCTAGCTTCTCAGGAGACTTAGGCAGGAGAATCGCTTGAACCCTGGAGGCGGAGGTTGCAGTGAGCCGAGACCACGCCATTGCACTCCAGCCTGGGCAATAAGAGTGTAACTCCGTCTCAAACAAACAAAACACACACACACAGTATTACACCACTGCTTTTGAAAGAAAAAGTTCAATTTTTATTAAATGCTAGCAGCATGCTTGGTACAGTGGTTATGAAAAACAGAATGCAACTTTTCATACTGAAAGAATCTAGTCTTATGCTAGTTTATAACCAAATTAGGTATATTTAGGATATTGTAGTTGAAAACTTTTTTTAATAGACTTCTTTTTTTTTTTTTTTTTTTTGAGATGGAGTTTCGCTCTTTCGCCCAGGCTGGAGTGAAGTGGCCTGATCTCGACTCACTGCAGCCTCCGCCCCACCCCTCCCCGCCTTCAGGTTCAAGCGATTCTGCAGCCTCTGCCTCCTGAGTACCTAGGATTACAGGTGCCCGCCACCAGACCTGGCTAAGTTTTACATTTTTAGTGGAGACGGGGTTTTGCCATGTTGGCCAGGCTGGTGTCAAACTCTAACCTCAGGTGATTCGCCTGCCTTCCGAAGTGCTGGGATTACAGGTGTAACCCACCACGCCTGGCCCAATAGACTGTTTTTTAGAGTAGTTTTAGGTTCACAGCAAAATTGAGGGGAAAATACAGGGTGTTCCCATTAAATTTTTAATAATAAACACGATTGGGCTGGGTGTGGTGACTCACGCCTGTAATCCCAGCAATTTGGGAGGCCAAGGCGAGTGGATCACCTGAGGTCAGAGTTTAAGACCAGCCTGGCCAACATGGTGAAATCCCGTCTCTGCTAAAAATACAAAAATTAGCCGGGCATGGTGGTGGGCGCCTGTAATCCCAGCTACTCGGGAGACTGAGGCAGAATTGCTTGAACCAGGGAGGTGGCGGTTGCAGTGAGCCGAGATCCACCATTGCATTCTAGCCTGGGCAACAAGAGTGAAACTCTGTCTAAAAAAAAAAAAATAAACAAAAAAACACGATGATTGAGTAGTTATGAAAAATTGTGAGAAATTCATTGTGTGAGATTTTCATCATTATTACATGTATTTGGAAATAAAAATTGTGTGACTGTGTATGTGAAACTTGCTCATGTTCTAAAAAATACCATTCATTTCTAGTATGTTTTTAAAATTTGCCACTGAGAAGTACAAATTTCCTTCTTATTTCATCTTAGATATCAACCCAGAGTCACTGGAGGCAATACAGTGTAGTGGTTAAGCGTGCAGATTCTGAAGTTAGACAAGATTTGGGTTGGAATCCTGACTCTGCCACTTACTAGCTGGGTATTCTTGGAAAGGTCAGTTTCCCCATCCATGAAATGGGGATAGGAATGGTACCTTCCTCATAGGATTTTTTTTTTTTTTTGAGATTTAATGAATACCTAGATGTATTCAGCACAGTACTTGGACGTAGGTAACTAAGGTAAATACATAGTCCTCTGTGCCCATAACCGTAAAATTTTACTGTCGCTAAATTGTCTGCTGATTCTCTTGGTTAGAGGGTCTCCCTTATTACATGACTATTTTAGAGAATGTTTTGAACTCCAAATCAAGCCTACCATGATTAATTATGTTAAGAATTTTATTTTAACTTTATAAGGGCTTCTAGCAGTAGGTTAAGCAATTTTAGAGGTGAAATTCAAGTGTTCTCTATAAATTCCTATTCCTGAATGTAGACGTTTATATTTTTAAGTGGAAGGAAAAGCCTTAAAGACATTTTCAAGTAATATTTATCTTTTGTAAAAGTATTGAAGAAATACTGGACTAAATACTGACTGTGGGTAACTTGTCACCTTAGTTATGGATAGCATGATATTAAGGAAGTTTAGGTCACAGGATTGAGTCCACGAGTGGCTTGTTACTCCAGTGTTCCATGGTCAGGGTGTTAGTTCAGCTTTGTTCCCAGGTAGTTTTGTGCTGTTGATCACAAAAGAGTCAAATGACAATATGTAGATAGAACAGTGCAAATAACTTAACACTATTAATTAGTATTTTGTACCTTGTTTGTCTGTGTACGTGACGAATTATTAGTCTCATTTTTATTACTGAGCATTTTCATTAGTTTGGTTGAGGCTTGAAATGTTTATGTAATTTGTACTATTTATTTGAATATTTTGTCTTTTGAAAGTTTTGAGAAATTTTAAAAATAAAAAATTCTTACTATTTTTCTACTATAAAACTTTCTATATCTAAAACTGTTAATAAATTTCTTTTTCAAGAGAGAGAAAAGGTTAAATTAAAGCAGTTTGTCACTAGTACTCCCTAATTTTTTGGAGTTTCTTTTCATGGTTCTCATTTTTTGCTTCTGTGGGGTGAGGGGCGGTGGTGGTAAAGGAATATTGTTTGTGTAGTGCACCATCAATTATATGTAGAGATTTTTAACTGTGAGTCTGCAGTAGCAAGTGGCCATTGGTGAGAATTCAACCCACAGATGTATACTGCTTGCTTTTAGGGTATTTGGAATATTTGATAATTGTCACCATTTAAGGATAGAGGTTTTTTTTTTTTTTTTTTTTTTTTTTTTTTTTGAGATGGAGTCTTGCTCTGTTGCCCAGGCTGGTGTGCAGTGGCATGATCTTGGCTCACTGCAACCTCCGCCTCCCGAATTCAGGGGATTCTCCTGCCTCAGCCTCCCGAGTAGCTGCGGTTACAGGTACACACCACCATGCCCAGCTAATTTTTGTATTTTTAGTAGAGACGGGGTTTCACTCTTTTGGCCAGGCTGGTCTCGAACTCCTAACCTCAGGTGATCCGCCTGCGTTGGCCTCCCAAAGTCCTGGGATTACAGGCACGAGTCACCTCGTGGCCAATAGGAAGATTTCATATTTAAGAAGTCTCAACTTCTAGCATCTCTAGAAAACCCACAGGACTTGGCTGTACCTGGTGGCCATCCCTGCTTGAGACTAGATTGCCAGAGCTGAGTAGCAGTTGACCCTTTTAGGTGGGTACTGAGGTCTCCATTTGCAGTCTCCACCAGGTCTGCTTTGCCTTTGCTATTGCAGTATTTGCCTGGCATCTGGCCTGGATCTTACCCTGAACCTAATATTCAAACTTCTCAAGCCTGAAACTTTAAGGAAAAGAAAATAAGGAATGTAAATAGTACCTTTCTTTTTTTTAAAAATCATTTTACTGTCTCTACAAAAATAAAATCATT